TTAAACTTAATGGGGGTACCCCAGGGTACCATAGTACCCCGGCTCTCGCATAATGTCGGTGATGCAGTCATTTTTAGTCTGTTGATGGTCGGCGATGCGGCAATCGACTCCTCTCGACGAGCTGTACACGTTGCACTATTCAACGTTTAATTTTTCGATAACGGATTTTTATATGCTAATGTTTGGCAAAGAAGAACAGGATCGATTTCTGCCCCGGAGCGACGCCCGTTTTCTTCTTGGGACGCCAAGGTTTTCGCCTTCGGTGCCGCAGCGGTGTTCGAATCCACCATCGCGTCATTCCAAACAATCTGGCGTTTGTTCGAGCGGGTGGGGACTGCTTGCTGAATCGGGTCGTCGATCTGCGAGCTGATCTCGCTCGCGATTTCTGAGTAATATGGCAGGTATTCCGGAGGAATAGAAAAGTACTTCTTTGGGAGTGAGAGCAATTTTTTCATCGTCAGGCTGCCGACAGGAGTCGTCGGCAAACGGATTGATTGCAACGTCCCCTGCTTGATCGTGTCTACGTTGTCGCCAAACAGATCATGTAGAATCGATCGACGGACGAGTTCGACATTCTCCTGCTTGATCAGTGGGACATGGACGACCTCACTGTCGGGCGTCGAGCTGAGGTGTCTCATGTTAACGAGCCCTAAATCGATCTCAAAAAAGTAGTTGAACGTGTAGCGGGTTGGCATCTGCTTGAAGTGCTTCTTCAAAATCGCGTCCCAGCCCGTATAGAATGGGCGTTTGGAATCGTGATGATTAACCAATATCGCCTTAATGCTGTTGACACGTCGTTGACGGCCTGAACGATGGCCATCGGGGTGTAAAAGTTCTTACCATTCATCGTATTGCGACACGATGCGACGACCCGATCGGCCTGGTATGAAGTATAGCAGAACGACTTTGCTGTAGAACAATTGTGACAGCATCGCAAAGAAACATCATCACCAGCTGCGACTTGTTTTGGCCGACACAGTTGTCGAGAATAACAAGCAAAGTGCTTGGCATCATGTGGGCCGTCTTCATGGTAAGCAGCTTCATGTGGTACACGAAGCAGAGGCTGCACAGTGCGTCTGCATATTTTCCTTGTGCGCACTTGTCGTAGAAAATGACCTTGTTGGCACCGCTCATGATGTTCGCTGGGACGAAGTTCTGGACCGTCCGGTTGGAATTGAAGTAATCCGCGGACGGGCGAATGTGACCGTAGTGCGGCATGGCGAAGCTACCGCCAAAATCCTCAATCTGGATAGTGGGAAGGCCGTTCAGTTCCTGCACCGACGGCAGTCCGCTCGGGTCGACGCCGGCTGCGTCGTCGTTGTCGTCGTAGTGTTTCGGAATGACGGTGTCGGGGACAATCTGATCAGGAGCGTGTTGTTTGACATACTCCTTGACAAATTGGCCACCGCTCGGCGCTGGCAGATGGCGGCGTCGAGATGCATGTTCTTCTCCAGCAGTAGGCGTTGACGTTCGTCATCCGGAAGATCCTTGCGTTCGAGCTGGATATCGATTCGAACGCAGCAGTGGCAAATGTCTTCGGGCTGTGTGCGTCAAGCTAAGACCGGGATAGTACATGTGGACGGACTGAATTCATCTTGAAAAGTACACGACACAACGGTCCTGGGCCTCCATCTTGACTTAGGAACCACCGACAGGGATGATCGAACGAATCTCATTTTCCGATGGCCCTGACTGGATCATGTTAATAATGATCCCCTCAGACTGCTGCCATTCCGATCCGTTCTGGATGGTCTCCATCGACGCCCAATCGTTCTGAATCTTGTTAATCGCTTCTTGACCCAGCTTGGCGATCACACGCTACAACGCCGTCATCTTGCGAGTGCACCGTTCACGAAGAATGCGACGAGGCACGGTCTGCTGCGAACCACCGACACCGCCCATCCGACGAATGCTTTCGATGCTCGATAACTTGGACAATCGCGAGGACACCGCCCCGGAAGCCGATGATGCGCCCGTCACGAATGTCGCCGCTTCTGCCGCCGAAGATGACGAGTCTGCCACCGACGAAGAGGCACCTGCCGCAGAGGATGCCGCTCCCGCCGCTGATGTTGACGCGCTCGACATGAACGCGAGGATGTGCTTCTCCCAGCCAGTCGCGATGAAGTTGGATTAGAAACTCTTTTGAAGTCCTCGATCTCATCGAGAGCTCTGATAAAGGCAGCTAATGGCCTGGATTCCCAATCGCCAAGATCCTACGCGATCACCTGATGCATACGAGCGTTCAGGGTTTCAGCGCAATCGTCCTCGCTGCGTTTGGACATCGCGCAGTAGCACTGATTTCGGATTGATTGGTACCCGAATCGCGGAGTGAAGTACACCCCTCGAAAAAAGTGTCCCAGATATAAATTATTTAATTGCCTCGGCCAATTTGTATCATTTGGTACCCTGGGGTACCGCCATAAGGATCAATTCTAAAACTAGGTACCTATTTGGATTTCTTGCAACAATAAAAACATCTTGTCGTTATTTATTAAACCTCTTTCGGTAATACTGCGCGAGCAGTGGTAGACAAGCACGCAAAACAATATTTACTTTAATAAATAACACTTACAAGGAAAAGTATTTAATGATAAGTTACGTTTCGGGAAGTGATCTTTCACAGTGCATTGAAAGGGCAGAGAGGTGCCTCTCGCTTATTGTTTGTTATTTCTGTTTTGGACAAAACCATCGCAAGTATTTGGTTTTTTTAAAAATATATAATGCATGCTATTTATACCAGTCATAACCATCAATAAACCATAGGATCCCACCCTGTCCAATTGCCTTTGTAAGGCTGAATATTTTACTTTGTATGGCATCACAAGCCAACATCATCTCTTAGACTCTTCACAAACGATCAGGCCCCCTTCACACCACCACCTTATCCGAAAGCCCCGGGGTAAATTTAATACTATACGCTTCCTCAAGGGGAGAGCTATTACGCCTTAGATTGTTTTTTTTGTTGGGGAAATTTGACATTAAAGGCATTATAGGCCAGCAATATAGGAAATTAGTTTTATTGTTGTGGTATATTGTATTTAAAGGAAGGCTTGCATACTTATGTAAAGCAATCCTTTGCTTTTTGTAAGTGCTGATAGTAAACATTGCATCAAATAAAGCTGCTGCTACCGAAAAAAACATTGTAAAATTACCTTGCCTATCTGTTTAATTTATTATTACAGCTTAGAATTGGCTCTTAAAAATGTCAAAATGAATTATGGCTGGCCTGTTTGTAAATAATCTGAATTGTTGATGGGATTTTAATTCCTTTTCAGAAGGATACACATTAAAGTCTTGAGTCATGCGCATAAAAGTGCAATTACCTCGGATGCATCAAACCGATATGGATTTCATGATCGCTTATTTGGCATGCAACAGAAATTCCAATTTCATTTTCTGGATATGCCTCCATTTTCATATAAAGAATAAGTTTGTCTCAACATGCATCCACATCCTCTGGTTATTTGGAGTTTACCTTCATCACTGAAATGTTCTATGAGCTTGATTATTTGCTTAATAGATTTTTACGTTTGTTTTATCGAGAAACGACGATACATTATAACGGTTGTGTTGTAAGGACTAAGGATGGCTGAGTGGGAGTTTTTTTTAGCGTTTGCATTGTCGTTAAGGAATCTCCGAGTTCAGTCCCCAGGCTGTTGTCTACAGTGCCAGGTTCACTTCCATATTCGCATAAGTACCAATAGCACTGGTCTTGCACCCGAATAGAGAAGGAGGGCACTGCTGTGTATAGCACAATGCTACTATAGGATTTCATGTCGAGCTCCGTAGGCTGCTTAAATTCTGATAAAAGTTTTGTTATATAATTTTGTCCCGATGGCAGTACTCGGCACATTGCATCCTTAACCGAGATTCAGCATTTTGAGTCCGCTGCAATGAGGCTGCTTATTAAAAAAGATCTTATTTTATGGAACCATAGTGCCTCTGCATCGAGACTTTGTTGAGAGACGTGCGTGATGAAAAGGGCCTCATTAATCTATCTCTTCTGGCAGAATCTGGCGGTTACAAATGCCGTGGCACAGAGGCATCCTTAGCGAGAGTGAGGGAGCCGAGGCATAGGTGTGTGGGGAGAAAATGGTTCTCAAGAGAGCCTTTGTTAGAGGGGGGGGGGGGGGGGTAGAATTCTACACTCGGATGCATGTGCAAAATATCTCGTGGGAGGGCAATCATTCCCAACCAACTTTCGGGAGGGTCGAAACTGCCCCATTTCTGGAATTCCACTCTCGAGCCAGTCCCCATAAGACCAGTGCACTAGATCCAGTCTCCAGGCCATACTTGTACTTTTGCCGTAATCGTTCATCCCGTCACACGACCTTTTACATCCACTTGAATTTGCTTAACTTTCCTCCGTTGGAAAGGTCAAAAGGTTTGTGTTGATGTACAGTAAGCATTATCTTGAGTGAAATCCCTGAGGTAGCCCCCCTCATGTGCGTCGAAATCAACGCGTCCCTATGTTGGCCAAACATGTCCCCTTCGTGGTCATTTTCCTCTGCCCATCTCTGAATCGGTTAGGATGCAGAGCTGCTGTGGTTACCTTAAAGAAGTATTTATCTTTATGATGAGCAGATTTAGATATGAAGCCAATGCAGTGGACTCTTTTCAATGCCGCATCAATGAAGTGTCGAACAGTATGAATCTTAATGTGACATGAGACAAACTTGTTTTTTTTGTATGACTAATCAGCTCTTTGATTTTGTTTTACATGACTCTTGAGAGTAATTATGTTGTTTGCTGATCCTCCCTCTTGCGATCACACCACATTCCCTCCACTAGTAATTCTCTGCTATGTGGGTGTCTTATTTGCTGCTGGTGTCGCCACTCATTCATCATTGCTCATGGACTATTCTCTACCATACTAATGCACGCATGTGCAATTACACTTTTCCTGGCAGTCACTTAAGGTAAATGTGCATTTATGATGATGATGATGCATTTCGAATCTGTCAAAATTTACCATGCTTTCTTGTTTTTTGTTGTTGCAGGGGCTGTGGTCGGAGATGGTCAGTCAGCGGTGGCTAACAACATCGCCGACATCACGTACCGCCTGCAGTGGTGGGACTTTGCCAGCTACAACCTGCCTGAAATTAGCAATTGTGAGCACCAATTCACAGCAGACACAAGAACGACCGTATTCACCCAGGAGGATGCTCGTCAGTTCGCGTGACCTTAATAAGCAGCATTGTGCCTGGATAGTGCTTGGATGGGTGACCACCGTGCACAGCAGCTTGTTGTAGTCTGCTGTGAGGCTACGTGGCGGGCAGCGTAGCACAATACATGATAGTACTTTACTGCTTTGCCGTGAAGTATATTTTCCCACCTGCCTTCTCGAATCCGCAACGGACCATTGTGCTGAAGTTTGGTTCATCAAAACCCCCACTGCCTACACCACACTGGTGGAGGGCTCTTAGCCCGCAGTGGATCCACTTAGGCATGCACATGTAGATACACAATTAAATATTATGCTCAGAATTGCCATTTTTTACAATTAGTTTAGTTTCACAGGTTCCAAATTACAAACAGGAATACTTGGTTTTTAAGAACAACGCATCATGCAAGGTTGTGGATGTACCAAATACCTGTCACGTAATCACAGGTTTGCCTTTTAAGTTTTATCGAAGCAAAATTTATGAAAATGTATTTAGTACATGAAAATCTGCTGAGAGATCCTATTTATTGGAGAGCAGACTTGATTTGTTGTAAGAGTTAACAAAGTAGTGGGTGTATGTCCATTCAAGAGATTTTATTGGTCAAAATTCTGCTTTTGATGATTGTGCTGCTGGGCATAATACATGGATAACATTGTGTCCATTCTTCACGTGTTTTTAACTCTCTTTAAGTATAAGGATCACAATAAGTACTTAGCGAAGTCTTACGAGCGTACAGCCCCGCTTGGCCTTACGGCAGCATGTACGTTAGGACTGCAATGCGGTTGTATGTCCCGTGCCATCAAAATACGAAACGAGCGTTGCGATGTCTCTTAGATTATACTCTCACTGTTGTCATCCAGCGGCTCATTTGTCAACAGGTCACAATGCTGCACCAGTCCCATTTGGGTGCTTATACCTCATTGGCCGAGTAGCCGCAACACATTGGCGAGATCGATGGCCGTGAGAGCAAATCTGTTTCGCGTAATGAGTGGCGTGATGATATGCGCTAATGGGCTGAAATGCAACTTGCGACGAACGATTGCACAGTTGTCATGGCAGAAAAACACTGGGCCATTAAAGCTATTTTTCTTCACCGTTCAGATGTTTTTACGTTTAATGAATGCTGAGTTCTTGGTTTTTATGCATTGATTCAACTGTGTGAAAATTGGACACATTTTCCTTTTGATAGATGAAATGTGGAACTTGAGTGCTTGCTCTATTTTAGCATTTTTGAGTAAAGTGGTTTATGCAGAGCAGCCACTATAATATTTGGCAATTTGGGGGTATACACCATGATTTCAGAATTCCATATCATTGTCCTATATATTTGTTTTATGTTTTCTGAATTTATAAAAAGAACTGCTTTGTAGAAGAAATAGCAAAATCATTGCTTCAATGAGATTTTTTTATGAAAATGGCCCTCGGTATTACGTTGTGCCTTAAATATCCCTCCTGTATGTTTTTGTTCCATAATTGAACACTGCAGTTGCCATTTGAAGCATGGAGATGATAAATAATGAACATTTAGTAAATGTGTTATTTGTGCAATTCTTATGGTCGAAGGCGATCACAAAAATGTATTAAGTTCCACCAATCATATAGAGTGAGTGATTTTACCCAGTTAAGTAATATGCAGATGATTTTCAATTTTTTTAAATTTGGTCTGTGATGCCAAATGTATTATCTTTAACATTCCATAGTTTAACTGACAGTCTATTTACATATGGTCACTTCATCTGGCAGTATTAATCAGGACGAGCACCGGGCTCGATGCGTAAAGCCTCTGCAACAAAGTGGAAAACTTGCTCCCCCTCGCCCATATCACGGCACTCTAAGAGAAACACACATCGATGAAAGTGTGTTTCATGTGCGCGAAAGTAAAATGCCTCGTCAGTCAACACTCTGTGATGAACTCCCTCTATCTGACTCGAACGTTGTCTCTTCGGCAGCCAAAATCAACGTTCTGGTCACCAAGTGCAAGATCTACAACGACGCGAGTTGTGACATCTCGGGCGACGGTCGTCACCTGGCCGCCTTCGTGCCGGGCAGCCACCGGGGTTTCCCGGATGAGGGCGTCCTCAACGTTTACTCGCTGGCGCCACACAACCTCGGGGAGGTGCTTTACCAGCGCCGCTTCGGTGAGGATTTACCGGTTGGCCAACCCAGCTTTTCGGCGATGAAACGGCGTGCGTAATGTGTCCGTCTGTTCTTCATTGATGCGATGCGAGGTCGCCATTGAGACTGATAGTCTTGCTTTCAATGTGGCGCTGGGTCACAAAGTCATGCATTTCACATGTAAACTAAACAGTTGAAATACTATAACAAAACTCGTAACAAAGTGCAAAATGGATGACTGCAATTAAATAGTGTGACAGCCAAAGGAGGCAGGGGGGATGTTCACCGTGGAGATGGAGCATTGAGATCAGGAACATGAGGGATGTTGACAGCCTGGGGAGATTTTCATCCAGCAGTGGATTGATTGAGGTTAATAATGTAGACATTGAAAACATAATACCTTACAATAAGATGCATTCTAGCTATTTTAACTGCATAGGGTACATTTCAAAAGAGCTTCCATTCAGAGTGACCAAGGAACAAATCTAATTAAACATTAAAAACTCTGGCAATGGAATACTTTTGTTTTTAAATAAGAGAGAAGGAATATAATTATATCATCTGCAAGGAACTTAATAACAATAAAATAACAATTTCAACATGTATTTACTCTTGAGACATTTCAGGGATTTTGAGGCATATCATAAATCACAAGAATATAAATGTGGAATTAATAAATCGGATAAACGTTGCGTGGTAATTTGTTGGTAATTGCCTGAGAGAAAAACTTTGCCGATGTGGCGTGATGCCCGACTTTGATTTTTGTACCCCCAGATCGTGGTCATCCTTATAAAATAATTAGAATTGCCTGAGTGTGCTTGCTTTCTTTAGCGAACAAATTCGTTTCAGCCAAGAGGCGGCTACCACTTCTCTGTGGCCAGGCCGCTATTCAGTGTAGCTTTGGGTATTGACATGGCCACGCTGTGATGCATGGAACGGGGGTGGGTATTTGTTACGTTTATTTCATGTTAGATTGCCGTGCAAACCTCTCGTAGCTTTTATAAAAGTGAAGCAGAATTCACTAATCTTATTCGGCCTCAAGTGGACGTTTGCGTGTATCTTCTCTTCCAGCAAGGGACAAGTACGTTTTCTTAGTTAGCGCTTTATCGACATACGAAACAAAGTATATTTTACGTGACATTATTTGGTGATGCTGCGTTTGGCAGTGGTGCACGGATACATATAACAAAAAAATTCAACACTCGTCAATTTCACTCCGTGGCCTTGAAAAGAAAAATATATAATAGGTGACATTTCAGGGCTATGTCTCTTCTTTATATGCGATCAAGAAGGTCTATTGCTTGATATGCCACCTACTATATATTCTCACTTTTAAGGCCACAATGTTATGAATGTGCAGTGTTTTTTTAATATATATACGTAGAGATTGTGGCAAAAATATGCACGAGGTTACGTCAACTTTTAAGGGATACATTTAATTCTGAGTCATTTGCGGGGTCAATATGAAGGTACTAAAGTAATAATTTCCTGTGACAAATGCGTTAAATTTCATGGTGCGGGCAAAAATGTGGACAGCGAAATTGCAGAGGTGTGCCTTGCAATGTGCTTTTGAGAAATCCAAATTAAACAAAATTCCCCTCAATAAATGTCTAAATTTGGCAGATTTCTAAGGAAGCAGATTATAGGCTGGGATCTTTTGACATCTTGGGTGAATTATGTCGGTGAACAAAGCTCGGGCCAGCGTGTGGTGCTGCTTCCGTCCCTCCTGCCCTCATTCCCACATCGCTCCGGCGTAATTAAAAATTTCCTGTGAAAGAGATAGAGGGTGAGGCGGGGGTAAAAAAAAAATCGCAAGCTAAAAAACACAAGGTTGCTTGCTTGGGCATAATTACGTAAAATGAGTTATGTGCGTGTGCTGACTTCTAATGATGAAAAAAAGTTACATTTTAAACAAAAACACAGGTGAGAAGTCTACTTTAAAGCGTGCAGAATTTTCACTTGCAATCCGTGGAGCAGATGTGGGTGTGATGTGTTACTGTGGCAACTGTTCAGCATAGCACATTGGTGCCACTAATGGTCTCCTACCTTTTACCTCATGTGAACCTTTTTTTCCCCCACACAACACTCTCACCTTTGCTGGTGCGCGCGACGCTGTGCGGTTAATTGTGCGCGTGTAAATGGAAGTACACGGCACGTGTCTTATTGTCACGCTTGTGCTCTCCGTTGGCACGGACGCGTATCGCGTAAGCGCACCTGGGTGCGCTAACAACGACACGAGAGGGTTCTTACGTAAGTTGATTGCGCAAGTCATTGGGACGAACCTCGGTTACGGATAATCAGAGTTGTCGTGGCACGTAATTTGGAAGTTGCGCAATTAAGCAAAAGAAAAGTCATTCTACCTAAATGTGCCGGGCATCCCAGCCCATCATCATCATCACCACAAGCTTTTTGGCCAAGTTAGCAATGAGTATACTTGTGGTTGACTGCGTGTACATACACATTTTTATTACCAGTAATTATTTAAGATAATTATTAATTCATGGTCGCTTCAAATATTTATTGCTTGCAGGTGTATATCCATTTCTATTTAAAACTTTCGTGACTGCAGCGATTAATATTCTTGGTTCTTTCGGTAAAGTCACGTAGAAGGGAAATAATAAAAAAAGAAAAAGAAAACAATTAAATTCTCAGGACGTTTCGATTGCAACACAAGCAATCATCATCAGGTGTGAAAACCACAGCAAGAAGATTTTCACACCTGATGATGGTCGCTTGTGTTGCAATCGAAACGTCGTGAGAATGTTATTGTTTTATTTTTATTAATTTATTATTTCCCTTCTACGTGACTTTACCGAAAGAACCAAGATTATGTATATACATTCTTTCGTACATTTCTGGGATAAATGTTATAATGTTTAACCTTCTCCAGATGATATGGCATACCTTTTGCCCACTAGGAAAATAATTGCCATGACACTGTGCGAGACGGTAAAAATAAAAAAACAATACCATTGAAAAGTTAATGTGTAATTTATACATGATCATTATATCCTTTATGCGTGTTTATTTCCCATTGTTATTTTTAGGCATGCATCACCGTCATGAGTAGAAGTCGCTAGAATGGGTAAAACATGAATCATTATTTCTCCACGTGAGTGTTTGCGAAGGCTGGTTGTCTACCAACTGACAGCCAGGTGATTAAATTCTATTTCTTTTCCATTTTTACTCCTTGTAAACGTACGTTGCAATCCCCAGGGTCTTAGCCCCCGGTGTCGTCATTGTATCGCAGCCTCAGACTCTCCCGTTAATGGTTTTTGTCTGCGTATGCTACCGGGTTCTTATTTCCACTTGCGCGCACTCAAATCTTTTGGCAGCCTGTTGCAGATTTCAGTTTTTTTTTAAAGGTTTCCCCGTCATATCTCCTGACGGTTTTGTTTGCCCGGCGGAGCCTGATGAATGCGTAATATGTCCCGTCGTCCCATTGGGGAGCCCGGCGCGATCAAAATGCGTTGAGAATTATTTCTGTTTCTCCTACCCCCCGTGTTTGCCCGCCAGGCCCCAACGCCATATCCGTGAGCCTGTCCCCCATGGGGCGATACATAATGGTGGGACTCGCCTCGCGCAGGGTGCTCCTGCAGCCCTCCACCAAGCACATGGTCGCCCAAGTGTTCCGCCTGCAGCAGCCGCACGCTGGAGAAGTGTCCATGCGGGTAGGTGCCACGTGATATGCACGCGCACACACGCGCCCGTTTGTGTGTGTGTGTATGCCACCTTGGAATTGCACTCGGCCTCAAATGAGTACCTGGTGCGGTGTGTAAACATTGCCACTGGGAAGACAAAGGCGTCCAGGCGTGGTGCTGGCCACCCACCCCCTCATGGGCCGTGCCGGCCTTCATAGGTTATCGCTAACAGTACTTGCCCCAACAGTCTGTTAGAGGCTATACGGGGGATCTTTGTCTTGGAATTGCACTTTGACAGAAACAGTAATGCATACATTGGAGAGCGTTTGCAGATAAACGACAGCGTTTCGACTGTTGTGAAAATTACATGTATGTTGAACTTCTTTCGCACCATACTAATGGGTGCGTAAGAAGTGCAACATATGCTAACATACCCTGTGGAAGGTGCGGGGAAAGGACAACAAACTAAATGCATACATGGGCTTCGGCAGGACATGTCGCAAGGGGGGATCATCGCCAGAGGGTCGAGACTAACGACGGAGTGACAGCCAAAGGAGAGACGGCATCTGACCGTTGATATGGGAGTGATTAAAGCAATTGGTGTGCAGGTGCTAAGTGGAATATTACGTTGCAGGAACGCGAGATGGTGACTGCTTGGGTAGGCCTTCGTACAACAGTGGATTGATCATGGCTGATCATGTATGGTTGTGTGTGAATAGCCCAGTTGGTGCCTGCTTGTTTATGCAAGCTTTAGTGCCTGCACGCTGTTTGCACGCATCGATTGGAAAGTTTGCTTCATCGACACGTTTGCGTACAATTGTGGCGCACTGCCGGACACCCAATAAAAGCTCCGTCACACACGTGCACGCGCGCCCTCCAATGTGCAAGCAACGTGCACATAATGTGCACAAAATTCCTGCATTGCACCGTTATCGCTGGCAGCGCTTGCAAACCGGCACGTATACACTTAAGGGCAAGTCACAAAATTCATTTTTTTAATGTACCAAATGTTCTCGTCTGTGAATTCCTGGCGGCATTCATTTTAAAATTAAAGTGCATGTCCCTGAAGTTTTGGCACGACCATGACCCCATGATCTTTACACGAAAACGTAATTTTGATAACATTGGCCTTGCTGAAGCATGCTCTTTTCGCATTGTTTGAACAGCTTTTTGTAAAAACCGCCCGGCAAACGGTCCCAAATTGGCAGGTGTGCTCGCTCCGCGGAAATCTCACCCGCTTTAAGGGGCTTGGATGTGCTCAATGAAAGCCACCTGCATGGTATGGGAATGAGCAAAGAGCGAGGCTTCTTGGAGAATGCAGCGCGAGAGAAGGGTCTGCAGAGACGATGGCAATAAATAACAAAAAAATATTGATTGTGCATGCAGGCACGCGTCGTGTAAATGCCGTTGAAGAGGATGGCATTGTTTGGAGGAAAATGCGGCCGTTGCATTCAAAGAGGTGGCGAGAAAAATTGCATGGGCGACCCTCGGCGCCGATCACATTAGCGCCTTGCACTCGCTCGAAGCGTGATGCCTGCGCGGATAATATCTGCCCACTTGAGGAGTTGCACGTTTCCATTATTTGGACCGAACAAAGACCACCCTCTCCTCTCTTTCCATTTATGTATTTTAGCTCTGAATTTGGAGTCCATGTTGCTGTGTTGGTGGTGCTGTTTTGTTGGGAAGGTGGCTCCAGGGAGAAAGGAGGTTATAGTGGGAGAGAGGTGAGCAGCAGCGTGTTTGAGGCAGCCTGACTTGCCAGACTAACTAGCTCGCATGGGGGTGGGACGGGGGGGATAGCCCACTGGGTTCTATCGTTCATAGGTATTTCTTGAAGTTGCCGCTGGGAATATGTCCTCATTTTGCCTTCAAGTTGACAATAATGTTGGAGATGAGAACAATTCGGTTGGCTGTCCTTCTCTTCACTCAGCCATTTGCGCTGCTTAATTGGCAACTTTTTACTGTTGGCGTACGGAATGTGAAAATTGAACACGGAGAATTTTTTTCAGTGTTGTAACAGCTTGAGTGCCGAGTGGCATCTATTCCCAAATGTGCTCCACAGCCCGCAAACCTACTGTGACTCGCAATAGTGTAGCAGGAGGGCGAACACATAAAATGTGACAACAACACTCACAAGTGATGCACTACAAGAGATTTGTTAATATCACTTTACTACACTTGTCGACAACTATCGGGTGGGCGTTTGATATCTAACCATCTGGCCCAGACTACTTTCTGAAACATCTGCAGCACATGCTCACAATACCACACTTCATGCCTCTGTGGCTATTGCCACCTGACATGTGCTCACATATCCTTTGGAAAACACTGATTTGGCTATCACTGAACGTTGATGGAATAACATTAGCACCGCAAATTATTGTGCTCCTGCATTTAGTAGTAATTGCTGTCCTCAAATCTCCTGGGTGAGACTAGGCGCTCTTGAATGTAGTAATACTGCACCGTGAAAGACCTTCAAATGTTTCTATTCATCGCATGTTTATAAGTGGGTTGCTTTTCCCAAGCTATATCTCATGTCACGATGTTGGTGATGCTGCGTTGGCAGTGGTGCACACGTAATGAAAAGACTCAACACATTCATCAATAACGCAATTATTTACCTTTCAGGAAATTATATAAGAGATGAAGTTTCATGAAGAAGTGTAATAATGAAGTGTTATAAAATGTTCTATAGAGAGGGACAATTGGCCCAAATGTCACCTTTTATATATTTTCCTTTTAAGGCCAAAGGATGTGTTTATTTATTTGTATATTTCATATGGTTACTAGCTGTACTACCCGGCTTCGCCCGGGACTTGTATCTACCACGGCCGGCCGCCTTTGTCTCCCCAGTGGCGATGTTAATACGCTACAGTAGTTAAGTTACTCGTTTGAGGCAGAGTCGACCTAGGGGAGGTTCAAATAATCGTCACCGGTGGTGGCCGTGAGCGGGAATCGAATAAACACATACACATGACCCGGCTTCGCCCGGGACTTGGATCCACCACGGCGGCAAAACCGACATACATACACACACAGACATACACACAAACACATACACACACATACATACACACATGCATACAGACACACAGACATACACATAAACACATACACATGACCCGGCTTCGCCCGGGATTTGGATCTACCACGCCCAGCCACCTTTGTCTCCCAAGTGCCGATGTTAATACGCCACACCAGTTACTCGTTTGAGGCTGAGTGGACCTAGGGGAGGTTCAAATAATCGTGACCGGTGGTGGCCGTGAGCGGGAATGGAACTGGGTTCGCCGGGTTGGTAGCGCAGCGTAGCGTTAAGCACTACACCCACCGCTCCTCACACACCACACACGCACAGACACACACACAGACACACGCAGACACACGCAGACACACACAGACAGACACAGACAGACACACACACACACAGACACACAGACAGCACGCTAAGCACTACACTACCGCTCCCCACACACCACACACGCACACACACAGACACACACACAGACACACGCAGACACACACAGACAGACACAGACAGACACACACACACACAGACAGGCAGCACGCTAAGCACTACACTACCGTTCCCCCTACACAACACACGCGCGCGCGTCCATAGGTACACATACACGCGCTTGCTGCAGACACACACGACTTTCAGGGTGCGTAAGGCAGTAAACGACTGAAATAATAAAGCGGCAATGCTGTGCGAGGAACGCCTTAGACCAGCAACACATTTGTGTAATGCGAGCGTAAACACACAAACACATACAAACACATACACACACATACATACACACACATACACACAAACACATACACACAGACATACACATACACACAAACACACACATACATGCACACAAACACATACACAATACACACACACATACATGCAGACACAGACAGACACATAACACACATACATACACACACATACACACACATACATAGACACACATACATAGACACACACATACATACACACAAACACATGCACACACGTACATACACACATACATAGAGACACGCAGACATACACATAAAGACATTAAAAAAAACCCACATACATACACACACACATACACACAAACACATACATACACATACATACACACATACATAGAGACACACAGACATACACATAAACACAAACACACATACACATGACCCGGCTTCGCCCGGGACTTGGATCCACGATGCCCCGCCGCCTTTGTCTCCCCAGTGACGATGTTCACACACGACAGCAGTTACGCTTGAGGCTGAGTGGACCTAGGGGAGGGCCAGGTCCGTTTCAAATAATCGTCAGCGGTGGTGGGCGTGAGTTGGAATCGAACTGGGGTCGCTCAAGCAGCTTAATGACTGTTTGTACAAAGAACATATAAAGAATCGATTATAATAACCAGGCAAGAGTCCACATTATAGACTGCCAGTACACGCACTCAGCTTCATAAGCAGGCTAGAGTGTACATGATAGAGTGGCAGTACGCTCACCGAGCTTAATAAGCAGGCTACAGTGTACATGATAGACTGGCAGTACGCTCACCCAGCTTAATGAGTATTTGTACAGTGAACATTAAAGTAATCGATTGTTGGCGCGTTGGGTTTAAAAGTAATATTAATAGCACACATTGTGGTGGGGGTGTAGTGAAGAGTAGGAAAAACTTTGATGAATTTACCTCAGAGTGGCGTGGTGGGTGTCGAGGCCTAGTAGCGTGCAAAGCCTGCGGCCTCGCCTAAAATTGTCGGCTTGGAAGAGGCAGGGTACGGGTGGCGTTCCTTCCCCCCCCCCTAGCGCTCCAACAATACTGTGTAATGGATATTATTTAATTAAATACGGAGCTTATGAAAGTGGCGAAGGCGTGGCTAGCCGTTGGCAGGGGCAACCGCCGTCCAATGAAACTGCAGCCCTTGGCGAAGGCGTGGCTAGCCGTTGCCAGGTCCAATGAAAGCGGCGAAGGCGTGGCTAGCCATTGCCAGGGGCAACCGCCGTCCAATGAAAGTGCGTATGGGCCAAAGTCCACACACAC